TTGTAATTACCTGTGCTAAAAATGCTATTGAAGTTGAACCTGCAACTAAAGTAGGTTTGTTTGTAGAGTTGCCATCATATATGTAATCGTTATGAAACAAAAGCCTTGATTCAGCCCTTTGGACTTTAGATTTGCTACCTCAGATAGAGGAATTTATTGAAACTTGTTGGCTTTCTGGTTTTCATTTTCACAAACATTTAGCAAGAAAAAGAAAACAATAATAATAATTAAAAAAACCCCTAACATCTACAGTTTTTAAGGGGTCTTGGCATCCTAGCACATGGTGGAAGGATGCAGCCATATTAACCTCCAACTCCAAATTACCAAGCCTGTACACCACTAGGCCCCCTGGTGGTTTACTCCATGAATGCTTAAAAAAGTGTTTCTTCCTCCAAAAAAGAAATCTGAATAACTTTATTTTCTGTTTATCTATTTCAGAGTCTTGGCAGGATTTACTGACACACAATACTTATTTCTCCCAAACTACTTTTCCTTCTTTAAATCATCAATCTGACAAGCATGATTTGCCCCATGCTTATTAACATAATTAATTCCATAACTAATTCCCTTCTCTTCTCCTAACCTTCAATTTTAAAAACTAATGAAACTAGATAAAATGTTTTTTTTAAATGTCAGAGATAAAAATAAGAATGTAATTGTATTTTTTATAGTGAAAAGAACTGAAATTCCTTCTGATTTTTGGATCAAGTTCACATCCAGTCTTTTGCTTAAAAAGATGTGAATAGCAGCAAATATATTAACTGGGATCATAGCATATATCAAGAATACAGCTTGAATATAATGTAGTAGTTTGAATTTAGGCATAGATATCTTATTTATTGAATTTAGGCATAGATATCTTATTTATTGTTGGTAATGCCATTAGAAGGGGTTGGCGGGTTACTTGTACCTATGGATCCTAGATCATTAGTGACTGGCTGTTCTCATTATAAACTCTGACTTCCCAGTTAGCCATCCAATTAGGGAACCCCATAGGTTTCTCCCCAAGTGATAGAACCCACATGCAGGTCCACTCCATGACTGTTATACCTATTGGTATCTAGTGGCAAAGTTGTTGTCTTTCCCCAAGTGATAAAAATTATATTCCATATATTTCCAAGGACTAGGAATGAGTAGAAGTGGGGGTGGGGGATGGGACAACATTCAGGGTATCGTGATCTACACAATCCTAAGTCTTTGCTCTCTGCATAAAGGCCCACTCAGGGGGGGAAAAAAAAAAGAACCTGCTCTCACTCTCTTCTTTAACTAAACTACTAAACTAAAACAGTAAGACAACATTAGCAACCAAGACTAAGGCTACCCAGGATTTCTTTTCTCTTTCTGCTCATGCTGGCAATTCCATTAACATTTCTTGTGCTCATTTCCCATTACCCCTTTCTTGTTGTGTACTTTTCCTATATAATATATTAACTACTCAAAATATTGCTAAACACCCAACCTATAAGGAGACTCACATTTTACTGATCCATACACAAAATCAAGGGATTTATTGTGGTTAAAAACCAAGGGGATTGGGGCGCCTAGGTGGCTCAGTCGTTAAGCGTCTGCCTTCGACTCAGGTCATGATCCCAGGGTCCTGGGATGGAGCCCTGCATCGGGCTCCCTGCTCCGCGGGAAGCCTGCTTCTCCCTCTCCCATTCCCCCTGCTTGTATTCCCTCTCTCGCTGTGTCTCTCTGTCAAATAAATAAAATCTTAAAAACAAACAAACAAACAAACAAAAAACCAAGGGGATTATTTCCAGAAAGTAATACTATCTCAGATCATATACACACACAAAATATCTCAAGTTCTCAAAACTATAAAGATCATATTCTCTGATTATAGTGCCATAAAATTGGAAGTTTATAACTGAAGGATAAGTAGAAAAAAATCAAAGACACTCAAAAACTAAAAATTCATTTTCTATGTCATTTTGTGGTAAAACAAGAACTAAAAGTAGTTTTAACTAATAGTTTAGATACAATAAGATCTAACAAGGATGACAGTGTTACATCTGAGAACATGAGATTCTGCCAATGCTGAACGGAGAGGAAAATTCATAGTCTTAATAGCATAAAATAAAAAAATAACAAAAATGAAGCAAGCATTTAACCCCAAATCTAGAAAAAAGAGTAACGCAATAAATTCCAGGAAAGTACAAAGAAGGAAATATAAGAAGAAATAAGAGAATCATACACTAAAATAACAATAAAGTGTATTTAGAAGTGAATTATTTGAAAAGGCCAATAAAATAGACAAAATTTTGGCAAAACTAATTAAACACACACACAAAACAGGTAACAAGTAAAAACATTAGAATTAAGAAAGGAGATATGACTATATATAAGAAGAAACAGAAATTTCATAAGAGAATGTCATATAAAACTATTGCAATAAAAAAACTGCAATAAATTTAAAAATCTTCTAAAGGATGATTTTCTAAGGAAATATAATTGTTTCTTTAACTATAACTGCACAACAAACTCAGTAGTTTAAGACAATAAACATTTATTATTATTCATGAGTCTGTGTGTCAGCTGGCTGGTTTGCTCACTAGTTTATAGTGAGTGGCAAGTTGATTAGGCAACTCCGCTAATCTTAATTGGGATATTGCACATGTTTAAAAGATGACTGGCTACAGGCTTGTCTAGGATGATCTTGGCTGGGACACTGCAGTTTCCTTCATGTATTCTCTCATAAGCAGGCTAACTTAGGCTTATTCATATAGAGGTGGCAAGGTTCCAAGAACAAGAGCAGAATTACACATTTCCACCTGAGCCCCAAAGTTAGAAATGACACATTGTCCAGGCACCTGGGTGGCTCAGTCGGTTAAGCATCTGACTCTTGGTTTCAGCTCAGGTTGTGATCTCAGGGTCGTGAGATCAGAGACCCACATCAGGCTCCATGCTTAGTAGGGAGTCTGCTTGAGATTCTCTCTCTCCCTCCCCCTCTGCCCCCCCATGCACTCTCTCTCTAAAATAAATAATTTTTTTTAAAGATTATATTTACTTATTTTTCAGAGAGAGCGAGAGATAGAGAACAAGCAGAGGGAGTGGCGGACAGAGGGAGAAGCAGACAGAGGGAGAAGCAGGCTCCCCACTAAATTGGGAGCCCAACACGGGACTCGATCCCAGGACCCTGGGATCATGATCTGAGCTGAAGACACGTTTAACTGACTGAGCCACCCATAATTTTTTTTTTAAAGAAATGACACATTTTCATTTCTACCAGATTCTATTGGCCAAAGCAAGACACAAGGTCAACCCAGATTTAAGATGCAGAGAAAATAAATCTACATCTTGATGGGAAGAACTGTAAAACCACACTGCAAACGACATAGATATGAGAGGGTCATTAATTGGGTCCATCAATGCAATCAACCTACCACAAAAATTGACTAAACAGAAAATCTGGATATACCATGAAAGACACTAAAAGGGTTGTCAATGAAGTACTTCCAAAATATGCATCAGACCTGATGTGTTCTACCTGCAAGTTCTTTCAAATACTGAGGAACAGAAAATTTCTATGCTACAATACTGGCCTGAGGTGCAGAGAAAATGGAAAAGACTTTAATTGATTTTATGAAATTGGCATAAGGCTGATACCAATCATGTCAAAGAAAGCTAGAGATCAATATCATTTGTGATGATAGACCCAAAAAATATTAAATAAAATATTAGCAAGTAAAATACAGAAGAACACTAAAATACGAAACTCCATGGTCATGGAATGGTTTATTTTAGAAACTCAGAGATAATTTAATATCTATAGTTTTAGATCTAGTAATATAATTTATCACATTGATCAAAGGAAAAATGCATTTCAATCATCTGAATTAAATACTAAAATGAATTTGGTAAGATTTATTATTTACTTACTAGTAAAATAGAAATCAAAGAAATTTATGTAAAGTAGGCTTTTTAAAAATTGTTTCAAGCCAACACCCAATAGCATGCTTAAACATGTAAAGCATTAGTTAGATAAGATTATAATTATTGTGTTAAAAAAGAAAGGGGATGAGATGTTTATGGTTCATTACTAAATACTTTTAAGAAATGGTAAGCATATATTAAACGAATTTAAATTAGTGTATTTACTACAGATATTTCAGAGCCTTTACTATACTAATGTGTTTGTAAAACATATTTGACTACTGACCTTTTTTTTTTTAAGAATATCAGAAGGGATTTGAGAAACCCTGCAACAAAGACATTCTCTTTTCAAGCAGATATAAGGTAAGCATGGATCTTGTCACCATTATGATTTAAAATCACTCTAGAAGTGCTAACCAGTACAATCACAGAAGCTAACAGAACAGGACATATATATTTGGAAAAGGAAATGGCAAAATCATTATTATTTACTGCTAATGATTACCTTTCTGGAAGACCAAGGAAAATAACTGGAAGACTATTAAAACTAATAAGAAACCATCCTTTTACTAATTAATACATAAAAACCAACAAGTTCCTTATATTCCAATATTAGTTCATTGGAAATTAAAATACAGAACAAAAAATATAAAATATCTAGAAATAAACTTAAGTACTCTGCAGGACCTATGTAAAGAAAACAAAAGCAATACAAGAAAAATTTTCTGAAAAACATAAAAATTAAAAGGACAGATGTAGTATGTCTCAAACTGAAAAATTCAACACTGCAAAAATGTCAGTTTTACCTAAATCAATCATAAGTCCCACAGAATTCCAATGTCATTTTAAAAATGTAACCAAAGGATTAAAAATTTCATCTGGAAAAAAATATGAATAGTAACCAGGCACCAAAGGTAGAAACCATAAAAGAACAAAAAACAAGCACCACCACTTAAGTACACAACAAATTGAGGAAAATATTTGTAATACATATGACACATGGATAAATACTTAAGATATTTTTTTAAATGTGCAAATAAAATAATTCAAACGTCCTTCTCAGGTAATTTTAAGAGATCCAGTCTCCTGTTTAATATTTCTTGAACCTTTTAGAAAAGACTTACTTTTTTGTGTGGTTGCTTGCCAACTCCATGCCAAACTCTCACTTGCATTTTCTCCCAGATGGCCTTACCCATTTCAGAACTGTCTGATATCCACCTGTTTACAGAAAATTCCAAACTTTATATACAGTATCTCCTCCCTCAACCCCACCCCACCACAGGATAATAATCTCTAGGCCTCAGTAATTTCCAGAAGAAATTTTCCCACACAGAAGGATTTAGGGAAACAATGCAACAAGGGTATATCACTGCTCTAAATCTCATCTCCCCCAGAGGTATATACCAATATAAGTTGAATATATGCTTTTTCCTCCTTTTTCTTCCTAAGGTCCTCCAGTGTCAGCTCACACACAGACAAATAGAAATTACTATGTACATGTCAGCATCAGTAGGTGAGGAGGAAGTATTATGGAGCAGGTTCATGTCTTGTGGCTTCCTTTATCTATTGGACCAGCTAGGTATAACTTTGACCCTGTTTTCAGGAGGAGCCACGATTCTAAAGCATTACAGATGAAATACTACAATGTCAGGAATTTGCTTAAAATGCTCTAGGAAATAAATGTGTGTATTGGGAGGAAAAAATAAATAAAACAACTCATCAGTGTAGAGTTAAGCACTAATAATTCTTTAACATTTCAAACATTCCCAAAGTCAAACTAGTGGTTTTCAATCTAGTTGCATCAACCAGCTTTATATTAACAAACCAGATGCCTCATTTAGTGGACAGGATGATTATCAATTTTTCTTGGGGAAATCTCAAAGCTCAAAAGGTGACTGGGTCTTCCACTAAAACATATCTTAGAACCTGTAGTAAGGTTTGGTCTTGTCACTTCATTCAGATATCAACTCAGGAACTTTCATATAGTGGGAGATCTTTACAGATGTATAGCCAGCTAGTGATACAAAAAATACTGATCGTATTCCCCTCAAGCTCATCTGGAGCATCTTTAAATTCCAATGAGTAAACAAACCCTCAGCCTACTCTACAAGACCCGATCAACACAGCCTGTTTTCTATCATCCAAGACACTGATAAAAGTGTTTTAAATTTGAGGACTTATCCCTGTTTTCTTCACTTAGTATATTTTCCAATGTTGCTAACCAACAAATCATGAACCCACCTAATGGGTTTTTTTTTTTAAATCATTAAGACCAAGTCATTACTATTATGAGAATTCCATGAGTTTCATTTTCTAAGTCAGTGGCTATTAAGTGGAAAATATGCTAAGACCCAAAGTCTCCAAATTACTATCTTTATTTCCCCTTCACTCTAATTTTAACCAGAGGTCATTCTCATTAAAAAGCCTCTGGGGTCTTTAGTAAATGTAAATTTTATACTCCCTGAGAGATCCTTGGCCCTTTCCTGTGGCTGTAGTCATGCCAGTCATCCAGCTGCTATCAATTAACATTCCATCAATTTCTCTGTCAGTCTGGGTTAGGCTTGACTGAGTCACAGGTACAGTCTACTTGGCAATATTTTGATCTCACAATGTGCTCACCATAGTAGAGTTAGAACATTTAATGAAGTTTCATTCAAAAACAAAAACGTTTATTGAGTGCTTACTATGTGAAAGGCATTATAAATTTGATTTCATTCCAATGACATGAAACCTCATTGTTCTAATTAGTGATGGCTAAGCTAATTTTCTAAAAAGAGATTAAAATATTATTCGTAGGCCAAGAATAATTTTTTGGTATTTGTTAAAAAAATTACATGAATGACGGAAAGGCAGGGCAAGAAAGATAACAAAAAAAGTAAAGAAACAAGAATAAAGAGACAAAAAAGAGAAAAAAAATATCAAGGACAAGTGAAAAGAAAAATAGAATGACAAAAAAGAAAAATGGAATAATGAAAAAGCAATTAAAAAACTAAGAAAGGCAACAAAGAAAGAGGAGAGAGAAAAAGTCAAAACAGAAATCAAGAGTGAAAAGAAGCAAGTCATTTCTATTTCCTTCAGTATGCTCAACTATTTAGCCCCTAATTTTCTCCTAGTACAATATACTTTAAAATACTGAATAAAAGATTATTATTATTACTTTTAACCCATAAGTCATAAAATGAAGACTTGACATGGAAAGAGAGAAAAATCCTTCAAGGCCCCAAGTCACAAGAAAGGATGAAATGAAAGGGTAAGCCAGCCCTTAAGCCAAAATTTGCATGAAAAACATGTCAAGCCTTGGTAGCCTATGGGAAAGAGGCAGAGAAGAAAAAGCACAGGGCCCATGCAAAGTGAGTCAGATCAGACTCTCCCACATAAAGACCCCTGGAAGGTAACACTCTTAGTGGGCAAATAGAAAATCAACATACAAAAGCCCCAAAGAGGGAAATTATAAAGGTACTTGCCTATTTCATTCTTGCTTCAGTAAAAGAAAATAAAAATTATTTCCTGAAATTTCTAACCAAAATCATGGTTTGTGGTTGAATTTCTATTAGGTACCCAAAAAATTATTTTTTATTTAAACTCTTCTCAGGTTGTAAAGTCTCCCCAGACATGTGGCAGAAGCAAACAGAATTCTTTGCAGAATAGCAAACCTTAATTAAGCCCAGGCTTTGGTGAATCCCCTAAGGATAATGTTTGAAGGCATTTAGGCAATCATTAAAAAAAAAAAAAAATCACCAAACTCACAAGGAAACAATACCATGAGGCAGAGGCAGAACAATAGACTTCAGAACTATACCTTTAAGACTGGGTATGTCAGAACAATAAAAAACTAATACAAAAAAAAAAAAAAAACACTTTAATATGCTTAAAGAGAAATGAAGGCTATCAAAAATTTGGCAAGAAATAAAAGTTTATTAAAAATAACTAGAAATCATTTTTTCAAAAGATTTATTTGACAGCAGAGAGAGCGAGAGACAGCTAGAGAGGGAACACAAGCAGGGGGACTGGGAGAAGGAGAAGCAGGCTCTGGCTGAGCCGGGAGCCTGACACGGGACTTGATCCCAGGACCCTGGGACCATGACCTGAGCTGAAGGCAGACACTTAACGACTAAGCCACCCAGGCGCCCCTAGAAATAATTTTTTTAAAAAACACATAAAATTTTTAGAAACTGAAATTAGAAATTCAGTGACAGATTAAACAGCAGATTAAACACAGCTGAAAAGAGATTTGTGAAGTGAATAATAGGGCTGAAGGAATTGATCAGAATGCAACTCAAGAGATAGGGAAATAGAAACTATGAAAAAGAAATCGTGAGCCATAGACCATGGTTTGAGAAGTTTGAACTACACCTAAACCAGAGTTCCAGAAGGCGATAATGGGAGAAACAATATTTGGTAAAGCTTATAGCCAAGGCTTTTTCAGAATCTATTAAACTCATGAATTGTCATATTCAGGAACCTCCAATGAATCTCAAGCAGAATATATACAAACAAATCCCTATTTGTCCTGTAGTGAAACTGTAGAACATTAAAAAGAGCAGCTAGAATAAAAAAAGAACAGATTACTTTCAAAAGAACATCAATTAGACCAAAGGATGATTTCTTAAGAACAGTAACAGCAAGACAATGGAAGTCTCAAAATGCTGAATGAAATTAATCATCAATTTACAAACTCAGAAAATTTCTCTTTTAATATTGAAATAAAAAATAAAAGGAAGACATTTTCAAACAAACTAAAGAATTAACTTTCAAGATATCTTTTTTTTTTTTTAATTTTATTTATTTGAGAGAGAGTGAGAGAATGTATGAGTAGGGGGGAAGGGCAGAGGGAGAAGCAGGCTGAGCAGGAAGCCCAATGCCGGACTCCATTCCAGGACCCTGGGATCAGGACCTGAGCTGAAGGCAGACGCTAACGGACTAAGCCACCCAGGCACCACCCCCAACATATGTTTACTAAAGGAAATTCTGAAGTGAGTAAATCAGGAAGAAAGAAAATCTCTAAAGGAGGTCTGAAATACAAAAAGAAGTACTAATGAGAAAAATAATAAGAATATGGGTAAATCAAACAATGACTGCACAAACAATAATATATAACTTGTGGAATTACTTTTAAGTGAATTAAAATTCTGTACACCAAAAAGCATAAATAGAAAGGTTGAAAGTAGAAGGATGAAAGATACCAGGCAAATAGAAATGAAAAAATGTGGAATAGCTATAATTTTAAATGGAAGGGGAAAATTTTACTAAATTTTACTAAAGATAATAAAGGCCACTAGGTAGTTTTTTAAAGTTTTAATGAACCAGGAAGGAATAAGAATTCTAACTGTGTTTGAACATAAGACAGCTTCAAAATATATAAAGAAATGAAATGGCTACAAGGAGAAATTGATGAATTCACTGTCTTAGGGATTTCACATACCTCTTAAACTGGAAGAATGAGTGAACAAGAAATTGTAAGAACATAGAAAATTTAAACACACATTTGTTGGTCTTAATCAAATGATCACATATGGAATGTGGACCTCTAAAATGGATAATATATAGTCTTATAAAATACACCAAGAACATTTGACAAAAACTGGGGAAATATTGAAAGAAGAGAGAGATAATTAACACCTCTTCCTGGTGTCTAATCCTTGCCCTAAATACTAACCAGCAGCCATTCTACATAAGAATGAAACTCCTTCAGAGAATCTCAGAATGGAGGGACTTCAGGGTCATCTACTCCAACCCTATGCCTAATATAAAAGTTTCCACAACATACCCCTAAAACCTTCACCACGATGGGGAACTGTGGTGGTCCCCGAGAAGCCCTATCATTTCCAGCCCCATACAGCCTTTCACCAACTCGCATGCCTGCAAGGGATCCATTTTTTCACAGAAGCAATTCAACTGTACCTCGAACTAGTCATTATCTTACAGTCTGTGTCACAGGATGGGTCTGGTGATGATGTAAAAAATTCCACCAAGAACCCAGATCTTAGATCTAGGAGATAGGGCTTACTAAAAGCAATTGTATAACTATGCAAGGCAATTATGTGTCTGAGTTTCAGAATAATGTAATAGACTTCATAAGCCCCACTCAGAGCTTCTTGCAACCTTGAAGTACCCCAGCTTGGACCAGCAGAATATATATGCATCTCCCATTAAGAGTTTTAAAAACTTTGGGGCGCCTGGGTGGCTCAGTTGGTT